TATTCTTCTCATGAAAAATGCAGTGTCGACAAAGATACTGACTAGCATTCGTATTAGGCCAACGATGCAGGCGCACCAACGAACTTCTCAATGTTTCAAGAATTCGTCGTGTCGACATTGATTTTCGAAAGTCACTTGCGCAAACGACTATTCGGAATAAAATGTTATTTTTTATATAAAACAATTCGCAAATGATTGAGAAATACTTGTTAATTGAAGAGGATTGAATAAACGTACAATGAAAGATATGTTAAAAAAATATATTTTTATTAGTCAGGATTAATTTTTCAGAATTTAGTCCTCGAATCATAATTTAAAATAGCCGTTTCTCGGCTAGTACCTTTGATTGACATGCTCCTTCTCCACTTCCATTTAACCTGGAAAATTTTTTTTAAATTTGTTAGATTTTACAGGAAACAAGAGTTAATTTTAAGCGAGTAATATTTATTTATCTTCTTGTGTATATCGATCCATTGTTAACAATTATTTCCCATATTATCCCAGAATGAAGGCTGTATTCATCCTCGTTCGATGAAACAAATATGATGTTTATTCCGTGCAAGGTTTGACCAGCAGCAACCCTCTCGGCAGATCATAAAAGGAACAACAAATGAAGGATTTAATAGCGACGCACAGCATGGCCGATTACGTGTAGGCTGCATATCAAGAAATGAGCAAACCCGATGTTCATGCACGGGTTCACAAATTGCTGTGGTGTAAGTGGCGAGGATTGAAGTTTTATCTCGTAAAATCATAGCAGTCAACGATTCGCAATCAACCATAATTAACGCTGCGTTATTCCGCATATGCAATCTGTTGTGATGATGGCGTACATGAGCTAGTGCGATGCGTATATGTGTGTGTATGAATAAATAAATATGTATAAAAACTGAGTAAGCAATATTTTATTTTTTATAAATGTTAAACTGCAAAATTACTATATAAATCGCTTTTACATACATTTCGACATTTTTCCTGAAAGAAATTCGACCTCATGTTTTCAAACACTTATAGTTCGAATAACGTACAATCTCAACGAGGACACTATATAAATATGAATCTCTTACATTGGACATTTTTTCATCTTCTCATAAAAATAAGACATTTGAGCAATTAAACAATCAGGAAATCTTCCGACAATGGTGGTCTCTCAAAGTGTCGTGACAGAACGAGCAACATGCAGAGTGATGGAGAGTAGAAAGAAGAAATGTGCAAAATTCTGCGTAGCATACAAAGAAAATATATTAATATTAGATTATATTGTATTATATAAGCAGTGAGAGAGCACACGTAGATCTTATGACAGCGCGGATGTGAGTGTAAGAACAAGCGAGAGAAAGAAACGAAGCAAACTAGAATGAAAGCAGACAGCAAAAGCGCTGCAACGCGTGCGATACGAAGCTGGAGAGAGAGTACTAAGCTAGAAACTCATTACGGTCGCTCCGCCCCTGCCGTTCGACGAAGCGCCGACCAATCGCATACTGCTGGATCGTAATCGCGCACTGAAGCGCAGTGCACCGTTTAATCTCTGCACCGCGCCCAAGTATTACATGTATACAGAATTCTTTCCGTCATAATTTAGAAGTTAACAACTTTGGCAAAGAGTATAATTTACAGCTCGCTGCGGCGACATTGAGGATTTTCGGTACTCTGAAATAACTTGAGACCGGTCCATTGTTGACGATTTTCGATTGCGCAACTAAATCTTGCCGTACTCCAATGAGATTCATGGATGTCAATACTCGAAAAGCAAGTGAAGCAAGATTTGAGGGACTTTTAATATTGATTCTCTAGTCCGACTTTGGCAAGCTTCAGATTTTCAAGAGAAATTGTAGGAAAAGATGAAGTTTGACAAGATATCATTGAGTTACTAATAAATCTATTTGAGGTACCAAGTATACAAAGTAAAACGATACAGAAATAGATTGACTAAAAGTTCAAAGCTAACAAATGTGATTTTGCGATTTTCTAGCGATGTGTATCCATCGCTAATTTTATCACTTTTTCATTTTGCCGAAGCGCCGTACATTTGACGTAAATAAATGAATTCACCATAAAAAGTCAGTACATGAAATGTCTGTTTTGTCGCTCAGTACAAAGTTCCCAAAATATGTTACACTACACATTGGTGCTAAATAAAAGATAATGAAAAAACACGAGAACGGATTCGCAACGCGACTAATGCTGCGCCGGGTGTTAATTGCATTTCCAATTTACGGACGGCGAAATATTTGACGTCCCGTAAAATGTACTAGTGTACGTTGTGTGTCTCGTATGTCGATAACTGCGTTCGCGTTTGTCACGAAGAGAGAAAATGCGCGCGAATACGCGCCACCGATCAAATAACAAAAAGAAATTCGGTCACTCGCTAGTCATTGATTTGCCAATATTTAACGATTTAACTGAATAATTGAGGAGAATACGGTTTTTTTACATCTCTATGACCATTCGTATTCGGCGGTGGGTATCGATTGTATTTTTTTTGTGTTTTAAAGCACGGCAACAGAACGCGGCACGATGCATACATTATGCGTACTGTTCATTATACATTTATAAAAGCAATTCGAATTTTAGACTCTCTTTCTATGTGTGTATGTGCGTGTTATTCTTTTTCTCTTTAACAGAACGCAAATTCCGAGTCGATAAAAATAATTCTGCTGCTATAGAAGTGAACACGTATATTTGATAAATTTACGTAACATATTTACACATAGAAAACTTTAGAAAACATATAGTAGAATACTTTCAGTTGCAGATGCCGTTTATACCGTTTATACCGTTAATAAAAAATATTCTTTTTCAAGTGACGAAAGTAAATTAATTAGTAATAAGTTTAAACTGTGTGTGTGGGAATCATTATAAGATTATTATAATAAAATTGATGATTAATTCAAGATTAATTAATTGTCGCTTTAATATCTGATCAAAATAATAATTCGTAGTATTAGAAAATAAATCAAATTTCAAAACTCATTGTGCATAATTCCTTGCACATAATTTTTATGAGCTAAAGTTTTGATTTAAAGCTTATACGTGGCAATAATGACTATGTTTATTGATAACAGTGTGAAATAAAGCGGTAATTGGGCGCGAAATACCTCATATTACACATGTATCGTATTGTATGCGCCGAAAAAATAATACACCCGAAATTATATCTGTTTCAATTCCTGAAATAAACTGTTCTCATATATTACCTTCCGCGGTTTGCTAATCGATCGATTCGCAGCATCGTAGTCGTCGGATCAATTTCATCGGTGCGATGAGAGAACATCGGTGCGGCGTGACGACAACGCTCTCGTTCGTCTCTCCCTCCCTTCCCCCTCTTTCTCTCTCGCCCTTTTCCTTTCTCAATTCCATATTCCAAGATGGCCGACGCTTATACGCCAAGTGCTTGTGAACGTGCGCGCGAATGGAGGCCGTGGATAGCAAAAAAGGATAAGCGTAATAACATAGTATCGTTAATGGCTGGGCAATTTGAACGTGTACGAGTGCCTTCCCTTTTTCTCCTTCTTTCTCTCTCCTTTATTCTCCCACCCGTCTCTTCTCTTTCTTTCCCTCTTTCCACTCAGTCATCCTCTCTCCCTTCTTTTCTTCCTATCTTTTCCTTCTCTCCCACACTCTCTTATTCTTTTTCGAATAGTATTTTATTTTTTCCATTCTTTTCTTTTCTTCCTTTCTTGCTATATTTTTAACTGTACTCGTATCCGTACATTTTTATTTGATATTGACTTTGCAATATTTCGTAAATTTGAGCAGAAAAGGACCTAGTTTGTGGATTTTAAAAAGGGATATGAGAGAGAGAGAGAGAGAGAGAGAGAGAGAGAGAGAGAGAGAGAGAGAGAGAAAGAGAGAAAAAGAGAAATTAGGATTAATTCTTACATATAATATGTATGTATATATAGATGTATATAAAGTATACGAGCACAAGGACGAGTACGCAAATATGTGTGCGTGTGAGAAGGTACATCCGCATAAACGAAAGGATTAACGGGAATCGAATATAGCGCGGTGGGCGGCAAAAGGAAGGAGAAGAGCTGGTATGGTGATCGAGTGTTTCAAGCAGCCTTTAGAAGAGTGGCTCGTTCTTATATGTATACCGACGGAGATCGAGACTGCATTATTAGTCGTTACCTATAATCTCTCCACTTGGTCCTATCGCTCCCATCGGTATCGATAGTCATTTCGTTCCTACGACTTTTGACCTACGCTCCGCGGAGCTGTAATCAAAACGTAAATCGTGTCCAGCTGTTTTTTCACGAGGCGTTTAAAGACAAAACAAGTTGATCACGACATGGGTTCTATTCCTTCCTTTCCCTCTTCTATTATCATAATGTTCGTCTATGTCTGTCTCCTACCATCGCCCTTCCCTTGCCTGTACTTGCTTCATTCTGCACAATCTCACGTTGTTTCATCGTATCTGCGGCGTCAATTTCCCAAGACCTCCATTTGCTGAGCATTAAATCGTTCTTCGACTGGTATCTGCTTGCGACTTGCTCATGACTCGTGACCTCGATCGATTTTCTATGTATAAAACGATGCGTAATATTCGTCGTTGGGGGTCCTTATATCGTGAGTCAGTCAGTAATTGCGAAAATATTCTGTCGATACTAAGGTTCAAAAAATAGATGAACGAATTGTGCGATCAGACTGTGCGTGTACATAGTATGAAACAGGAATACGTTGGAGATTTTATTTGAACGATTTTAAATGAAGCTAATGCTTGATTTTTGGCAGATTTCTGGCAGAATAGCAGATTTTATTTGTATTTTTTTTTATAATATATAACGTCAATAAATATTCAGATGTACTTTCAAGCAAAAAAAATTTAAATTATTTAAGTGGTTGAATCATAAAATTCCAAATAAACTAATATAACCGTTTTCATATACTACATAGTAAAATTGCCTAATTGCGATTTAAGCATTTTTGGAAAAGAAATGATATAATATGATATAGTTTACATGGCATATTTATGGGTATAAATAGAAAAATAGAGATTCATGGGGCAATAATAATTTATTTTAGTGTGACTGAAACTAAACAACAAAATCCATTATCCAAGTAGTTTACATCAATAGAACGAATTAGTTTGCGACGATTATCACGACGAATATTTATTTCAGTAATTATTATCATTTTGTCCTTTTTCATGGCGTAGCTGAGGAGCGTAATTACCCGTATGAGCCAGTTTTCTCAGTCTATCCATAAAATCACAATTGATCAGCAGCGGCTGGAAAGAAGATATTGACATATTTAGTGGCATCTCATTCAAATCTGTTGCATCTTCCTGCAGTAAGCAGGACTATCATCACCAAGATTAGACATAAGACGAGACAATTATTATAGATGTGCGTGTATGTGTTTATATGTAAAAGAGTTTACTTGTTCATCGACATTTCCGTGTACCAACATCTTCAGTCTTTTAAGCTCATTGCTGGTGAAACCCTCGTCTGAGATTGAATTCGATATCTCCGCGGAGTTTGGAAACTCCGATCTTTTTCCGTTGGTCCATCCGCGGCTATATTGAAATGTTTGGCCAAAAACGGCACTCATAACCAACGATAAGATCAAAAAGACGAAGATACATTTGCAACTGGTCATCTACAAAAAATAAATATTTTATAGAGAAAGTAAAGTTATTCTGAGCTACATTTATAGTACTATTATATACTGTTTGTGATCAATTTGCCAAAAATATTTCACAATGTAATGGTGTATAAATATTATATATATTTTATAAATATATAGTTTTAAAAAATAATAGTGCGTTACAAAAATTATATTTAGAAAATTCATAATAAACTTGTAAGCATATAAAACCCGTTTTCTAATTATTATATTCATATTTCTAATTATTATATTCATATTCAAGTTGCACAAGCCTTTAATCCGTTCGGGTATCCACATTTTGATAGTTATTGAAAAGTGAAGAAAGAATACAGTTAACACGTCTATTATTTGTACAAAGTGAATGACATTTTTCGACAATTTTCAGCGTATGCTCTCGGCATGCCTGTTCTGCGCGCTAATTTTAAGAGGACCATTAACGCTACGAGCGTCCTCCGGGTCATTAAGATAAGGGTAAGTGCTACTAAGTGTCCGAACAGATAAGCGACGTGACCGGCATCTCCGTTGCATAGAGATGAAGCGTCTCTTCGCCTTCGAGTTGCCGCTGGAACTCCAACAAACACGCGGTGCACCGAGTGTGCCAATAATATCAATCGCTATTTAATTTGTAGCGAAATGAGGAAGATAACGTTCGGATTTAAGTTAAGACAAAAGGAAGCACAGGTATCGTTGTATTATATGCAGTGCAATTTATGTTGAATAGATACGTTGATTCATGCGAAGCGTATCATTGTATTTATGAAATTAGTATTATATTAAAAATTAATTAATTAAATCTTTTGAAGCGTTCGCGATGTATCTTTCAGCTTTTGTTATCTGTATAAAATGTACGTTTAAACGTGTACGCGCGCATGTACACATACATATACCGTTTGGTGAAACGGGATTAAAAAATGTCAGGGAAACAATTTATCTCGCGATGTATATTACGGTCGAATGTATGTACGGTCGTGAATTTTCCATTTTACACTTTGTTGATCACCAATTGTTGACGACCAATTTGTTACGTGTTTTGTAATCCATTAGCTTTATAACCGGATTGTTCCGTTTTTACATTTCCCGTAAGTCCATATCTATGTCTATGCCTATCATATATTATTGATGTCTGTATTGATATTTCGATTAGTGCATATGATTATTTTCCACGGCATAAGGATTTGTAATTTGTAATAGTGGCGATTGGCTGAATTCTTTCATCAAATGATTTTGTTTGCAAAATAAAACTGACTTTTCAATTAGAAAATGAAACTCCAACGAATATAAGAAGTGTTTGCACATTCTATTATTTTATGAGATATTTTTGTATAATGAAACATCGCTAGACTTAGAATATCCTAAACATATCCAGAATGATTTTAAGATATATATTAGGACATATTTTACTATCTGATATACATGATTCTTTGTGTAGTAATATTTTTCGTCTCTAATATAAAATTATTACAAATAGACATACAAATGCTGCTTTTTTTATGCACATAATGTACATAATAATAATGAGTAATAATATTTTCTTTTTTCTAAATTATTTTAAATTTTAATTTTCCAAGAAACATTTTAAATATTCTATATCGGACTGTATAAATTACTAAAGGTATACCTTTTCTGAACAAATTTCTTCTCATTAGTTTGACTCTATATTTATTGTTCTTAAACTTTAAAATAGGATCTCAAATACCGCACCATCTTTAACACATAGTGCACTTTTGGATGTTCGTATTTTCATCTCTTATCCTAGTATTCTAGCAGTTTCTCTATTCCGCACTGTTATATCAATATTCGGTAAGGAAGAGATTTCTAACGCGACACGTAATTTTAACAGTCGATAAACTGTAGTAGATAAATTAGAATATCGACTTGAAATCTTCCGCAGAAAAAAGACATTCTAGTTTTTTGAAGTAGAAAATAGATTAGATCAAAAGTAATATTATATACAAATGTATTATATACATAATATACATTTATAATACAATTAAAATATTAAAAGTTTAAATAAGATAAATTTTTCTATCCTTTTTAAATAAAAGATTAATAATTCACATGTACACACAAATTTTGGTGTTTTATATTGAGTTAGGAAAGTATAACTTTAAGCACAGTATGATGTGTACGCACCTTAACACACCGGGTTTACGTTCACGCTACTTGGATAGCGGTATGTTTCTGTAGAATGTCCTACCGATGAAATGCCACGGTTCGTCATTCGACGGGATGCTTTATATAATCCTTCAAGAGGTACTATTCTGTAGTAATGTATATGTGGGAAGGAGACATGACCATGTTCTTAGTCGTCGGCGTTGATGATAAAACCGGTTATTACCAGCAATTAATATTAGTTGATATTGTGCGAAAATTGGTTCTATATACAAGTTTGTTGGACAAGCGAGCATCTATGCTACATGGCTTATTAGGCCAAGTTAATTATTTTGAATTATTAGGCAATTACAGGCGCGCAACAATAAAGACTTATTTCATGAATTTGCGTGATCCTAAATTTACATTGAATTGAATTATGCCTTTGATTTTTTCTTTAGTTTATTTCTATAGATATAAGCAATATTATTTTTTGTATGATTTTAAACGCGCATGTTTCTCTTTGAATAATGTAAAGATATCAGATATTCTTAAATGGGAAGAAAACATTGTATTCCTATATTCCCTAGAAATTGTCCTACTGCACTATGTTACACTTCTTGAGGTTAAAATGGAATGTGTATATGTCCAAGAAAACTTGAGAAAAGGAGTAGGAAAATGAAAGTTTGCAAGAAAGTGCAGAAAGTGCAGTTGAAAATAGAGATCTTAGAAATTTCCTTTTTAGTTCTTTGCTCATCAGTTATCTTAACTTATATGGTTAAGATAACTGATGGGTTTTATTGAAAAATATATTTAATGTGTGATATATAAAATATTCTGAATGTACTCCAGCCCGAAATATCATAATCACAAAAACATAGTATAATGTAAACACCTTAGCATAGATAAAATATCTAATTGTGAAATTATAAATATATTTTATTAAAAAATCACGTTACACAACATTGAGAAATGTAATTACATGTTTATAATAATCCATAGTGCGCATATCAATGCAGAATAATATAAACGACTATATATAAATTTGCTGTTTTATTTTAACGTATAGAAAGTTTAACAAGCTGTATCTAAATAGAACAAGTTTGTCGCGTTCTATTACTGTAATGTACGCACATGCGCATTGAATGACTACGTTTCCAGATTGACTTGGGCTCTTGTCAGCTCACTTTTACGAACGCGTGATTCGGTCAACATGCGTTTCCGCGAGTGAAATGAGTAACGCAACGTAGGCAGACAGATCGCAGATTGTTGTCGATGTTCGTAACGTTTTTGACCATCGCGGTGCACGTAAGCACAACTTACGTCGTATTGTCCTCGTCGTCGTCGTCGTTGTCGTTGTCGTTGTCGTTGTCGTCGTCGTCGCCGTCGTCGTCGTCGCTGTCGCCGCCGTCGTCGTCGTCGTCGTCGTCGTCGCCGTCGTCGTCGCCGCCGCCGTCGTCGTCGTCGCCGTCGCCGCCGTCGTCGTCGTCGTCGTCGTCGTCGTCGTCGTCGCCGCCGTCGTCGTCGTCGTCGTCGTCGTCGTCGCCGCCGTCGTCGTCGTCGTCGTCGTCGTCGTCGTCGTCGTCGTCGTCGTCGTCGTCGTCGTCGTCGTCGTCGTCGTCGTCGTCGTCGTCGTCGTCGTCGTCGTCGTCGTCGTCGTCGTCGTCGTCGTCGTCGTCGTCGTCGTTGTCATCATCGTCGTCGACGTCGTCGTTACTGTTGTCGTAGTTGTCATCGTCATCATTACCATCATTATCATCATCATTGTCTTCATTGTCGTTGTGATTGTCATCGTCGTCATCGTAGTCGTCGTCGTCGTCCTTGTCGTTCTCTTTATCGTCACATCGTTATTGCAATCATCATCGTCGCCGCTGTCGTTTTTGTTGTTTTCATCATTGCTTGTCGACACTAAATTAGTTGTCATTTGATAAATCCTTAGAATAAAGGACATGTCATCGTGGCCACCGCGAGTAGTGGTTCGATCGCGGCGGGCACAGTGACGACGATTTCGTCAGTGCAGCATACACGCTTCGTCGCCATCGATGACGTCAGCTGCCGTCTCACGATATGGAGTCCATCAGAAAATGGTTTTACAGACCTAAGGTGAATAATACTTCACGCTTTGCTGTGTGTCTCCCGTTTAGCTTACGCCCTCCTTCTCCGACTCAATCTCAAGCACGAGTTTAAAGATATTTAGGTTTTTCCATTATAAACATTATCTTTTCCCACGTCATATATTCATTTATAATAAATACAGGTTATAGATCCAGCATCAGAATACTGCATTAATTATGGTTGAAAAAAGAGATAACTATTTTTAATGCTCTTGCATTCTTGTGCCCCTGTACATTCTATGACCCTCTCATCCCTTTTTCCTCCCTCTAATTCTTTGTATAAAGTGCTAAAAATATAAGTGAACTCGAAATTATATACCACTATAAGTTCCAAGAAGCAACAAAGCAAAAGTTATCGCTTTTCTCTTTTATACTTTACCGAAACTAGAGTATGTTTTATATTCCTCAAAGAGCTTTTTGTTCTTTTCGCTGTTGCTCACACTCCCCCTATTCTCGGTGCTCTGTTGTCTTTGTTCACTCTCGTTGTTTTTCCTTATCTGTTTCATTACCGTTCTTTTTAGCCCCATTTCTTCTCATCTCCGTTCCTTTGTTTTGCTAATTTTATCTGATCTATATATAATTTTTCTGTATACCTTTCAATCCTAATACTAACTTTTAGGACTTTATGAGTATGTAATGCAAAGTAACGTAATAAATATGTAATATATGAATATGTAAAATTACAAAGACGATAGGAAGAAAAAGATCAAAATGTTACGCAGATAACCAAATCTGCAGAAGCTGACTTAGTAAAGTATCTGCTATAAATCCTGTCAGTAGCTTGTTAGCAGAAATATAATAGAATCTAATGACAAAATACGATAACAGACTAACTGCAAAAACTGATCAGGGTCTATTGTTCCAATGTATTTGAGTGGAACATACTGCACATTCTGCTTGCTTTTTGCTGACAATCTGTTATCAGATTCTGTTAATAGAGCCTGTCGACAAAACACGAATCAGATGTGAACACAAATGTCGAATATTCTCCTGTCAGATTCTACTTGAATCTGCCGGCAGACTACTAATATTTTGTTCACTGAATATATTTACGAAACTTTTTCCTTATATATTATCAAATACGATCAAATATAAAAATTACCGATGTTTTTGTTGTCCTCAGGATACTAAATTTTTAACACGAAGAAACTTGCTTATGAAAAATAGTGTAAGATTAAATTGAGTAATGATGAATGGTTTTAATTTTTGGACATAAATCTCAAGTTTTGTATGAAAAAACAAAATCTCTATATTTACCTCGTACATTTACTAAAAAGAAAGCTTACATGATCATCTGCATTAGTAATGATGGTGATGGTGTTGGTGATGGTTGATCAATTAATTCAAAAACTTTAGAAAACTTTATTACAACATGAGAATATCACTCTGCAAATTCCAACTGTATATTTAATATTTAATGCAAAATACCTCTGATAACAATAACTTCCAAGGAGAATTTCTTGCTAATAATACATATATAATACATTCATATTCTAATCAGGATTATGATTTTCATGAATCTGGTGATCCCTAATCGCTTAATGTGGTGAGAGAACTCAATCTAAGATGGATAAAATACCAATTGTGGAGTTTACTTTGAAGCCGTCAACAATATTTATTTTTAATTACGTAAAAATTACACATTGTACAGAGCTGTAAAAAGTTCCTTATAATCTCGCAAGCACATGTATATAATATTGCTATTTTTTTAAATATATGCATGTAAGGCGGTTTGAAAGCAAATTCTTCAGTTTGAGCTTGAATCCAAATATAAATGTTTATACCTTTGTAATAACATAACAAAGTCGCAAATAAATTATAAAAATCCCATTTTCTTCTTTTTTTGCTCGCACGTCACTGTGCTAATCGAACGTGTGCACTTGTTCTTTTTCTCCCTCCTTTCCTCCTTCCTCCTGCGTCATCACTCTCTGTGAACTCTTCACGCGCTGTTGCCACTTGTTTGGTGAAAATTTCACACGATGCATTGCGGTTGTGAGAGACTACACAATTGCGTGTACACGGTACAGAGTGAGATAAGAAATGTCAAAACCTGATAGAAAGCAAAAAATTAGAATTACTAGAAAAGCATGTTATATATATGTAATTAATAGAAAATCCGTGTACACATTTTTTATCTATTATTATGAGTACCGATATCACTGGTGTGAAATATGACTTCAATCTCAAAGTCCGACACTTGAATAAGATATATTCAAATATTAGTAGCATCGGATATTGAAGAGTTGAATCACTTCTACCTGAAACAATATTTAAAGTCTTTTTTTGCATAAAGCACGATTTATAATATTAAAATATATATCATCATTAATTTTATATAAAAATTATCACACACGCATGAGTATTTTTTTTATTATAAACATTTTCTGTAAGATAAAAAATGTACTTTTTCATCGATAAGATAAGAATATATCCATGTTTGAACTTTGCACAATCGATGATCCGTGAATAATATGTCGTGCGATCTCATGATTAGTTCAACTTTTCTTTCTTAAATAAATTCTTGTTTTTCTTTTTTTGGAATTGCGATATAAAATAATTCTTAAAATATTATACTGTATATATATATATATATAGTTGCAATTTTTTTAATTCATCAATAAAGAGAAGGCAAGATAAATTATGTTGAAATTAATTTAACAATTCATCAATATTTAATAATATTCATATTTTCATCAGTATATAACTATTCGATAATTACCGCTTCAACAATATGTGATTTTAATAAACGATATACTTTCTTGACAAATTATGCTTTACGAAAATAGTCTTAATTATAATATCGATAAGAACTGATTTTACATCGTGATATATGTGTTGCATGATATATATTATAAAACACGCTTTGAATAAAGCGATCGTCAAGCCGGTGAAAAAAGTTAGATCTTTCACAAACGATTAAAAAGACTCCACCTTTTACCGTTACATTCAAGGCTGTATTGACAGTAACAGACCCATTCGGGAGGAAGAATATGATAGATTTGATCACCACTACCCTTTAATTGTGACGTGATCGCCCCCTTTCATTATGACGTAGATGCTATCAGTGTCATTGTTCAGACATACGAGTGCTTTATCGTTCGTTTATAAATATCGTGTGTACAGACTTACCCTTTTTAAAGATTGAGAAAATCGCGCGCAATATTCTATCCTGAATAGTTTAGTTAACTACTTTAATACTGTACTTTAAGACAATATTAATTAATTTTTATGACGAAGAAATAACCCAGACAGCATAAATCTCCAAGGGATGTCCGAAAAACAGAGGACGTCGTACATCCTAAGGACATCTCCAGAACACCCCCAAAATATTTCTTGAAGATTTATATTGTCAGGAAAAAAATAATATTTTTGACACTCATACATATCTTGATCTTTATATTTGATCTACATGTAAAATATTTTATCAGTCGCATTCGGATAAATGGATATTTAATTTTCGTTACAGAGGGATGACACAAGTCTACTGGCTCAATTCTTTTATGCCGATGAATCATTGAACGCGGTTGCCTGCGAGTTGGACTCCTTTGATGGTCGTCAGGAGCCAGAGAGATGCACGTCATTGGTGAATCAGTTGCGACACTGTCAGGACAAGGTGTTGACAATCTGTAATCAAATAATGGACGATCTGATCCCAGAAAGTAGAGCCAACCGAGATTTCAGAGTGAAGTTTCCTGATGATGTCATGCAGGAAAATCTGGCCGGACAGTTGTGGTTCGGTGCGGAGTGTCTAGCTGCTGGTTCATCAATTATGAACAGAGAGGCTGAAAGCTTAGCTATGAGACCGCTAGCAAAAGCTCTCACCAAGTCGCTGGAAATTGTCAGGAATCTGTTAAGAGAACATGCGCTCAAAGGCCACATGAACTTGAAGGTATGGGAATGTGATATATCAACAAAAGCTATAAATTTCACAGCTTTGTAAATAATTGTGTGTATTAACAGTATCTTTTTCAGACGCAAAACCCGCTTGAACCATCTCTGGAGAAGCTTGTGGAATCTTTGAAGATCTTTGATCGACTCTTCGCCGATTTTGAACTATGCTATGTCGGCGCTATGGTACCAGTAAAATCAACGAAGGAATATGAACAGCAGGAGCTCGTATGTGTACTGTTCTCGGAAACTTTACAAAGAGCGCTCGAGCGTGGATTGTTGGACCAAGCGGACGTGGATAATTATGAGCCAGCTTTGATGTTCACCATTCCTCGTCTGGCCATTGTCTCCGGACTTTTAGCACCGCCTGGAGGACCGTTGTGCCTCAATTCACCTGATACTATAAGCGAGATGTTTAGGCCGTTTAGGGTAAGAGAAAAAATCCTATAGCACACACATACACAATGCATTTCTTTATACTTCTTCACATATAATCTTCTACAATAACTTATATATATTAAATTTTGTAAATTATTAAAAATTTAATTCATTATATCAGAAATCCTAAAATCATGTGAGCCTTTTTTACTACTTGATTTCTAACGACATTTTCCGTTGCAATATTTTTAACCGCGAATTTCGACATACTATATATAATAAATGTATCAAATGATTTCTTTTCAGACCCTTCTCCTTAAGATAAGAGAACTACTGTGGACATTAAACAATCGCGAATTGTACATGTTGGAGAAGTTATTGTGCTCGAATGAGGAGCCATCAAGCTCGATTACGCAGTCAAGCAAATCGGCGTGTCAGGATATACCTGATTTGGAGGAGTTTGTTCATAATTTTTATACTGGTTATCCGAACTGTAAAGAATTTATCGTGGATTTTTACACCGTAACGAGAAACGCAGGCAACAATATGGATGAGATAGCGAGCGACGCAGTTCAGTCGTTAGGCGAAGGAAGCGGTAAAATAACCGATCAACCAGTGACGATGGAGGATCGCGAACAAGAAGAAGAGGATTCTAAAGAAGAAAAAAACACAGATACAGAAAGTAGGCACGAAGACTTAAATGTATCCTTAGACAGATGTGATAATAACATAACCTGTAATAGCAGCGAAAAGACGCAAAGTGACGAAGAAAATGTTGATGAGGAGGGACCATATAGGCGCGAGAAACTCCCGACCATTTGTTTGCGCAACGACAGACAATTTCCCTGTAATCGCGATTCCGATTGCGATGTAACATACGAAAACAACAACAGTGACAGGAGTTTTGATTCAACGGCAGATGATAGTAACATAGTGACAAGATTGGACGTAGCTGAAAATAACGTTCCAAACATCATCCAAGATACGATAAGCAACGTACGAGAAAATGAGGAAAACTTCATTACTTCTAACGTGACTCAGATGTTCGAGGACACCAACAACATTGAAATTCCTCAAACTACTCAGTATCTGCTTAATCAGGTATCCCGCGATAACACATCCATCATGAATGACAGCGCAACTGCGCACATGCAGAATTCTCTGCCCGATCTGGATTCCAAGAAACTCATCTCGGAAGCGAATAAGACTCTCTCGAACTTTCTGTTGGACGTCGCTGGCGAGTGCCAGAACGAGATCTCGGAGCAAACGGACTCCGGGATATGTACGGTAATCTCGTCTGAAAACACGAGTCTGTACGACAAAAGTCCAGAAGAGAAGAAGACTTTCGCCAACGAGATTCAACAAGATGAAGAAGGGGGACGCGTGTCTGACGAGGAGGAGGACACGCAGGAGAACACCAGCTACTCGTGTTCGAACCTGAACTCGCCCACTAAGCGGAGAAACTCCACTGCTGTTTCAGAGAAATGTGTCTGCGGCACGAGAGGCAACAACAAAAGCTCGAACGTGCCATTAGATCATTCGATCGAGGTATCCAATTTGCATGCAAATGCCGGAGAGACGCCCGACAAGAACATTCCACGAATATCGTCGAATTTCGACGGCACTAATGAAGAGTTTATAGGCGTGGCATACGGTAATGGCCACGTGACGCTTTGTGACTCCAATCAGTCTACCTTTCAGATCAATTACTCTGAGAACTGGGAAAATCTCAATTTGAACATCGACGCATCGAGCTCGAGAAAAGAATTCTGGGGCGACCTCAAGTGCGAAAACTGCCCGTCTACTTCGCAGAATATAGACAAGATAGGCAATACAATTGAGAAGTACGCGCAGGATAAGAAGAAAACGAGAGACGAGAGACAGCGACGGCGACACCACCAGCACAAGCTGGATCGAAACGCACAGAGAATTCATCACAGCCGACATCAAGGAGAAAAGAGGCAAAATGTGCAGATCGTGCGGTCAGCTACGAGTACTGAAAGTTCTAGGTAGTAGTCGTTTAAAGTCCCGTTGTAGAATCCTTCATTGAGCAATCGTATTATATGAAATAATGCTGATAGTTTGAAACAGAAAGTTTCCTATATCCTAATACACAGGTATTCTATTTGGTACTCAAATTTGCGGATATTATCCGAATATTCAGATATCATTTGAAGCAATCAAATATTCGAATTTCGAACTCTGATTATATGAAATTTCGAACTCTGATAATATCATGACATATCACCACAAAGGTTCGAATTGTCTTCAATATTATTATGATTGAGGGTGAAAGATGTATCTAATTTATTAGGGATATATCAAGTCCTACAATAACGCAGCATTGAGTACGGGACTTAGAAAATAGAGAATCTCTTGTCGCAAATCGTTTGTTTTAAATTGTTCGTGAGAGACTTGTCGGATTTTCGCAACGCTGCCAATCCTCGAAACCGAAAATAATCGACAATCGGGTGTCATATTCCTGCAACGGCCCGCCGAAGGTGGTTGCCTCGTGTTATTTAAAAACAAAGGACCAAATATAAAAACATTTATTATTACACAATCTTGTGAAGTCTGAGAGATATAGCAAGGACAATTTTTCATAGTTCATCAAAGTAAATTTGCATAATTCTCAGTTCCATTTGATTCTCAGAATGATTAATTAAACCTGAGATTTTAGAAATCTCTATTAAATATTTCCGAAAATATGTGTTTCTATCTGAATTAGATTAGATTTTGGGTTACAAAACAAAAAGTAACAAAACATTACTTCGATTTTCCCTTTATGAACCTCAATCTAACTCAGACTCCAAAATATTTCCAATCTTTTGAACGGCTGCTTTTTTAAATAATTTCAAGTCGACTTTTCCATGGCAAAAGGTTGAATACTTTTCGTGCTTGGTTCTAGGTCAAATTCGACAGATCGTTGCTTGAATCCATCTCGATTAACTAGCTTTGGCGCTAGCCTGCATCTTGGTCAAAACACCAGACAGATGCCAAACTTCGGAAGTCACAGTCCGCACATGAGTCCTAGACTTCATCACTTTGAGGCACCGCGTAGCAATGCAGCCGGGCAACGTTGTTGTAACGTCGGAACACAGGTGAATAGGAGCTCCGCGTCGCCTCAGAGCAAGAAGTTGTTAGATCACAGAAGATCCAAGTCCGAGCAGATCGTTAAAATGAAGAGAAAGGACGTCGTTGAGAAAAAAGACAAATATGAAAGAGTGAGCGCGCATACGAAGAGAAAGTTAGGGAATACAAGTTCTAATAATAATCTTATGAACGACGGATTGGGTCCGAGAACGGACAAGAGCGGTCTAGTGACGGAAACTTCCGCTTCCTGCACAACTACGCCACCGCGGAATGTTCGACGTGAGTTTGCTAATTCTGCACGGGGCAGTAATTCACGGAGATCTACGCGATCCGCAAGACTAGTCAACGCGCCCCCAATATCACACGGCGTGACAACTTTAAATTCTGAACAATCGCTGAACTACAATAAGACCGACGTGGCTTCGAGCTCCAGCTGCTCGAGCTGTTACGGCGACTCTAGTTCGGAAACCAGTGAGTTTCACAGCGATTGCCAGGACGATGAGGAGATTGCACTAGCGATGCAGGCCGCCGAGATTGCAAATAGAAATCAGATCAGAGCAAAGTTTCGGTAAGACACATTTTGTTGTTTCACGCTAGCGTATTATTCAGTTAATATTTCAGTTATTTGTAGAAAAGCGACGATGACAATAAATGATGAATGTGCTTTGTTTTCTCCAGGTCCTCGGAAGATTTGGTGCACCGCCTTTTCGTTTGCATAGCCGGTGTGGCGGATCAGTTGCAAACAAATTTCGCGTCCGATCTGCGGAATATCTTAAAGTGCGTTTTTCTTATGAACAGTAGTCAGATAATAGAAGACTCAGAAGCGAAAGATCAGAGTCCAGCCACGACGAATCAACCGGCGATGGACAATACGTTAAGCGAGACGACGATGGAGACGGGAGATAATCACGATCGGCAACAAGAGTCTTTACCGGAATACGAGGAGGATATGGAAGAAACCATATCAACGCATGAACGAAGTATGTAAATTTATTTATTAAATTCTTTTCGAGAAATGTGTGAACATATGTCGAGATAAAATATGATTTAATATATATTAGCCAGCAATATATCTAAGATTCTCGTACTTAACGAGTAAAGTTGTCAAAGTCTAAGTAAACTATTAAAACGGAAATTTTTAGATAGTGTATGGTATAGTGATAATAATGTACATATAATTCAAATTTTAATATATTTTTGTTATTACCTTATTATTATTTTATTATTATTATCTTTTACAGTTTCTCCCGTCACCGAAAGAGGAGAGGAATGTGTGGAGAGGGCACCCGCCTGGGTACCGGACAACGATGCTCCGAGATGTATGGCCTGCCAAGCTGGATTTACGGTAGTGCGACGCAGGCATCACTGCCGAAACTGTGGCAAAGTGTTTTGCGGCCGTTGCAGCAGCAACAATGTTCCATTGCCGCGTTATGGACATACGAAGCCCGTCAGAGTGTGCAACAGGTGTTTCTTATACCAAGTGACGCCGTTCACTGTTTCCCAAGTCACGTCCACCAGCTGAACGTTGCCGCTGAGTCTCTTTCTGTCTCTGGCCTCTTATCAATTTAATTACTTTTCACTAATTTTCCTACGTGTATCGGGTTGTCTGGAGAATTATTCCTTCAATAGATATCCATTTCTCACGAAATGCAGTACCATGCTTTATTCTTTCTTCCACTCGTCCTATGTGTAAACCGAATTATTGATTGAGATTCTTTCCTTTCCCACTTTCACTTCTAGAAAGCACTTTTATTTTCTTTAAGAAGATGAAAAAAGCCGACGAGAGAGCAAGATTTTAAAATATTGTGATCTTTTATTTTTTATTGAGACTAGAAGTGAATTTAATAACTGTCGTTAAATATTTTTTTAAATAATCGATTTCCAAAAGATTTCCCGAATTATAAGTAAAAAAAGCGAAAGAAAAATTCGGTAGTACAACTCAATTTAAATTGCGCAAAGGATAAAAAAGGATAAAAGCATTATGAAATGACACGTTATGTATACATAATGCCTCATAATAATTATTTTGGATATATACTGCGATTTTTTCGGATTAAATTGGAGAAATTTTTTGCCTTCCGCAGATATTTAGATAATGTATTTTTTTTTGTAGTATTTAATCTTTTAATGAGTAAAATTCGGCAAATGAAATGTAATAAAATAGTATTATCTAAATTTTTATGAGATAAAGAAGTTGTATCTTTTTAGCATAGGGACAAGGTGATGTATTTTTTAGGCAATTATTATGTGATATTGTTTTATGATCGAAGAAAGATATATAAGAAAGATCTCCCTTCGCCCTACCTTTCTTTGTTTCTTTCTTTCTTTCTTTCTTTATTTCTTATTTTCGTTTTTTCTTTCACTCATTCACATATCTTTAACACATTCACTCATCTTTAATTTTGTTTAAAAGATCGGTACCAACTTTCTGGACAACCCAGTATTCTTCATTATATCTATTTTTAATGTACGTACTCGCGCACAAAATTGCTGCTTTTGTATAATGGGATTGACATGTTAAGTTTCTGTTAGCGAAATGATTTAAACTGTATAATTATGTGGCATGTTCGTACAATATTGAAAGAAAGTCAGACCACTTCGTAGACTTTATAAATTGAAATTGTTTCACGTTATTTGATTATTCGTAAAATTAAACGAATTATCAAATTATTTGGGTGATTGCCTTTTTTTCTATTTCTTTTGAATAGTCAAAAAATTATATCGAGAAATTAAAATGGCATTCGATCCGTTCAATTTTTTCAACATACTAGTCTGTAAAAAGAAAAATTTTAAAGACATATATATGTACTAACAAAAAGAATCGAAGAGGAATTATTGCTGATGAATTGCTTCTTTTGCATTCTTCGTACATTTGCGTGCACTAAAAATATAAAAATTATACACATATATCGGCGCTAATCGCTCATATTTTTACACATCGTAATTAGATTATAGTTTGAGGAAATTTAGTCCAACATGTAAAAAAATGCAATTTCTATAGATCTTAAACTTTCTTACAAATCATTAGAATTTCATTTCATAAAAGAATCTTGTCTTCGTGTTTTAATTAAGCGATTGTACAGAGGACAATAATTTGCATATCAAGAGTATCTTTACGTTATTATTAATCTTAATATTCTTCCTCTACTTATTATTAATGTTAAGATTAATTTAATTGTCACGATTATCATTATTAATATAAATTTATTAAGAAAAATTTATTATTAAGAAAAATTTAGTCTTTATAAAAAATTTGTTGTTTAAATTAAATAATTATTAATGCTTTAGTAGTTATAAATGAAAGTCTTATTGTAAAACGGTTTATTTTGGGATTTAGTTAGAAGTAATAAAACTTCTTTTCTTCCCGTGTTTTTTTTGTTTTTTTTTATGAAATAGCACTATCCTTTAACATAAAACAAAAGTAAGGCTAATGCATTATTGAATTTTCGATACGTTTTTTATAATAATAACGAAGTAAATAATATATTTTTATTTTACTCATGGTCATGTAAGCTTACGACATATTACTATCTAGAATTGTCGAAATGCTGATCGCACATATTAAATAAAACGTCTTCGCTCCGATGTAGTAGAATATTATGTATTGCGATAAGATTCCAAGTCAATACATATATATTTTTGCTCTCATTAATACTTGAATTAATATTTCAAAGACAAATATATGAGAGTAATAATAAGCAACGAGTATCGTTATATCAATATTGTTTTAATGTGAAAATTCTTTTTACTTAAAAAAAATCTAGATTTCTTTAATCTTAATAACAAAAAATATATTCCACACTTGCGTATAGCCCGTAAGTTCGAGCTGATTGTCGATAGATATTTTTCCATAAAAAATATCGATAGGCTTCCATAAGGAAGAAAAGCTGAGAAACTTCGTATCACTCTTGAAGTATAAATCTATGTATAGTATATATACGTATGATATACATGTCTGCTAATGTAAATATATACTTTTAAACAGATGCGATATACATAATGTGTTGAAGTAAAAAAAGTGCAGAACGGAAGTTTATGTTCAATAAGCAAACACACGGACAGATACTATCACTCATCACGACACATACTATCGCTCATAAATATTCGCCTTAAACTTTCGTCTTGTCGCGTCTTTAAGAAATATAAAAGTAAATAATTATTAACACAAACAAATACACAAATAAATAATTATTTATGAGCGGTAGAGTAACTATTGCCGCGCGATGGAACTCTTAAACTACTACTGCCTGCTCTGGTATTTCAAAATACACACACACACACGCGCACATACACACATACATAAGTGCGTTAGCACATACAATTAGCTCCTGTGCCAAATTTAATGACAATAAGTTTCCTCCTTCCTATGACACACGCACACACACACACACATACACATATACACAAATTTGGTTCCTATCGCAAAAAACTTGAATACACTTCGGAAACTATTTGGAGACTGCGTAAATAAAAGAGCATGAGGTATTTAAGCGAACACCGAACATTGGTACATTAGTCGTCATACATGTCTTAACATTATTATTGTAAAAAAGTATTAGTAAATATATGTTAAGGCATATATGACGTTTCATATATGTGTATATTGCAATTAAGAAGGAAAAAGAAAAGAAAAGGAAAAAAGACTGCTCAGATCGTTTGTTTGTTATCGATTCGATAGTTAGCCGTAAACAATTTGAATTCCGCGTAATAGACATCTTTGATTTCTCTTTCAATAAATCATATATTGTTAATTTATTAACATTACGTTATTAATTTTAAACTTATTAGTGCGGTTATATCTTTCATCAAAGCCGTCGATTTAAATTTGGCGATGTGAATTTATAGATTTGCTGTGGTCAATGTTAGCAAAAGGTTAATGTTAATTGAGTCTCGACATATATTGGTACACATCGAAATTCAATTAACGTCGTTAATTTGAGGAACACTTTGACTCGTATTTACATCATCGTAGATAAGTAGATAGGTCCGATAATCGATTTCCCTATATGGACGTGTGTAATGTATGTAATAGCATTCCCTAAAAACTGATGGATAGATTGACGAATTTGTGAAAATCATTGCACATTATAGTCGCGTATTTGCATTGTGAACTATAAGTAGGACTTTCCACTCTTTCGGGAGAAAGGATGGATTAATTATTTGCAAGAAATAAATTGTGACGAAAATTGTTATATAGTATCGGTGAAACAGTAAATAAGAACGTTCGTAAACGAAATGTAGAATTAATATAACAGAGAGAAAGAAACTTATTTCCTTAAGAAGCACATCTTTAGTAGAAAATTTAAAACCTCTGAAAATGTATGAACGCTTAGAGGGAGAGTTATTTTTTACACGTAATCGATGCCTTGCTAGAATATCGTGCTTTCAATTTGATGATACAAGGATAAAGGCAACTTCGTTCGTCTAAAATCTGCGAAACTAGCACAAGAGACGAGCTCCTAGCATCTCATCTAGTTCATACGCGTTATCACCCATGGTAATCAGGATTGCCCCTGTGCCTAATGTCGCAGGTTAACCTGTGAATATATATATGAATGTATATAAGTGAAAAAGAGCTACAAGAAGAAAGAGAATGAGAGAAAGAGAGAGAGAGAGAGAGAGAGAGAGAGAGAGAGAGAGAGGGAGAGAGAGAGAGAGAGGGAGAGAGAGAGAGAGAGAGAGAGAGAGAGAGAGAGAGAGAGAGAGAGAGAGAGAGAAAGGGAGAGGAATGATAGTGAAAAATTCGGGATAAAGCATACGGTGGACCAAAATGTCATTGCGTTACAAACATAAAGTTTCTTTTGTCACTTTTTTGCTTTTTCTTCTTCTTTTCTTTCTTTCTTTTTAACTTTTTATCTAAACAATCCTTACTCACGTTCCTGCTTGAAACAAAAGAAAAATAATAATAAATAATAATTTCTCTTACGAAATAAAAATCGCGAAGCGAAATAGTTATTTATACGATGAACTGTTTTAATCTCTTATTATTCATAAAATAGTGAAAATTTATATTAAAACTGATTACGGTGATGTAGTGATTTTGGTCCATTCGATACATCGAAAAGATTACGATCTGCCAATTAATTAAGAAATTCCGACGAATGAGGCGACGAAAGGACCTCAGAATTATTTTTGTATTATTTTCGTAAATGCATACATCGTATTCGACGTTACAATAGGTCGCATGTCGAATAGAACGTAGTCGGTTCATCGAAATAATGACGAGGAATAACGTTAAAATGATGTTAATTGTCATCAATAATGGTGTTTACACCAAAATTACTTTCGATTGGAAATCGAAAAGTTAACAATGCATGATTCGATAATATCATTGATTTTAAACACGCGGCAATGAGAAACACGAGATACTCGTGGATGAGTTTGATTATTAGTGTATGTGTGTTGTGTGTGTCTATGCCTGTGTTTATGTGCGATTACGTTAACGACGAGCTATTTGCAATATTGGATCGTGAGTGTGTACTCGCCAATACCCGAATGCACCGTGGTTTCGATAATGGATGTATTAAAACACGAATGTAAATAAAGTTTGTTATTCAAAGTGTTTAAATTATGTTGTTATATCTTTTTTTATACCTAAGATGTCATATTTTTTTTATACCTAAGATGTCATATCAGTCGGAAGCTCTAAACTATCGATCTTTTCGGTATGATGAAGATAAGAACGTCTTGGTGTTGTCACGGTGACCAGTCAACAAATATCACGTTTCTCCTCCGTGATTTCCATTAGAAATATTCCTCCACCCGTTACGTCCTAGTCAACGCGTTATTACGAGAAAACTGCATAATTTAGAGATTACGCATAATTTATAGAGAGAGAATATTTAAACGCTTCGAGACACTTTCGATCATAAATCTAGTGTTAATTTCAACAACTCGATAAATTAACATATTTCTTGCATCGTAATTATTTATTTGTAATTTATTATTGAACAAAACATTATAATCTTTAATCGCGTCAAACTAGGAATTTTACACCATGATGGAAATGGAAATGAACGCTGAGTTGGACGGTGTAAGTAAACTTATATATCATTTAAAATATTCATTAACATTTAAAATATACCAAATGTTAAATGCATTAAATGTGAATGTTACTGTCGTACAGTGCCTTGCAAACCTCGTTGATAAAAGCTTATTTTATAAGATATATTGCATAGACAAAAAAGATATGTGTACACATTATCCTTTCTCATAAATTTACGTAAAAGAGTAAAATATCGATGCGGCCGGTGCATTGAATTCATTGTAGCTTCTAATGATAATTAACCAAAAGTATAAAGTCTAACGAAAATTTATAACCGTTATTAGTCGTTGTTGAACTTTTAAAATTGATTTTCATTCCTCTTAAACGTCGCATTATTCTACAATCAGCAGATGTTTTTTCGTGATACGTAGCATAATGACAGCTCCCTAATGTTATAACGCGGTGGTGAGATAATACGTGATATCGACGAACGGGAATACGCGAAGCGAGAAGAACGATCGACCACGATGCAGCAGAATGATGATGTGAAAATAACATTAATTAGCATATCTCTAACCTAGTCTAACCTAACCGCGCAATTTGGAGCGATAAGTATTATGTTGAAAAAAAATTTCCTAGTTGAGAAAAACAGGATTTATTTCGATATAATACAAAATACGAAAAGCGAAATGAAGTTTTATTCTGTATTCATATACAAAGGACGTTTAAAAGCGCAGTCTAACATTTCGACATATATTAACGGGCTCATTCTATTTTAGATATAACAAATATAATCGAACGCTCGCACTAGTAGCGCGAATAGATAGGCGATGATCGAGACACGTCCTCGAAATATTCTGTCACGATAACGAAACGATGCTTTCAGGATGACGGAAGCGAAAGTAGTCAGCCGTCCTCAGAGGGCAGCTCAGCAAGCAGCACATTTTGCACCCTGGAGAAGGATTACGCAAGGGTAAGGGTCTTTGTTCACGGAAGTGGACATCAGAGAATGCTCTTCTACTCTAATGTCGGCTCTTCTTATCATTGAGGAAACTCCTTGGTGTGATAATTCGTCGTTCATACTCGTCGTTAACGCTTAAAATGGCGAGATTCAAGGATTGAAGGATTCTGTTTCTTGCCGATATTATGCTGAACTATTTTTTTTTCTAATAATCAATTTTGTCAATAGCTTGTTGCGATATCTATTTTCTCGTATTACTTTGATAAGTTCTACACGAATATAAATATAATTATGATCGCGTGTTCACACATTCCCGATAATTCAGATTAAATTCACCAGTCTAAAACTGTTACTTTCTCTTTGCATTCTATTTGTAGAATAGTATTTCTATTTGTAGAATTTGATGTTGTATTTTCAGATAACCAACGAAATGAAAACTAACGAGGCGTTAGCTGCTTATGAATCCGAGTATGCAAGACTCTACGAGTCTTTGTACCAAGCGCATAGAAATGAAAAGGAACTGTCGGAGCAGTGCACATCGCTGAAGGTAAATATTAAAGCTACAATACTCGTAATGAAGAGCTTTGCAGAGACTGAAATAAAGGAGAGAGACGATTTCGGGAAACTTAATTTGGATATCACGAAGCAAGAAATAGCTTCGCGTTTCTTTGAAGATCATACAGGGAAAGGAGAAATTTAACTGAAAGTATAGTCTGTCACATAAACGCATTATTATTCCAGGATGAAATCATCAATAACACGTACAAGATGTACGAATTGAAGAAGATGGTGGAGGCCCACGAGGGTGAAATAGCCAGATTGAAACGAGAGGTCGTGAATACGACGAAACTGGCTGACGCGGCGCATGCACGCGAGCAAAACGCACAGGAAGTCATTGAGAATTTGCAACTAAACATCGTCAAACTAGGCCAGGAAATTGAGCAGAAAAACAAGCAGCTGTCTGTCGAGAAAGAGTGAGTTCATTCCAAGAAGTTAATTGACATTAGACATTAGGAACAGTAACAAAGCAGAAATACGTTCCAAGTTGTTTAAAGAATCTATCATCAGTGAAATTTACGCTGAAAATGTTGAAAAAATAGGACCCTTGATTTTCCAGTCACTTTTATTATTAAAAAATATAAAAGTAACAAAAGGAATGTGAGAACAACAAGAAGAAAAATTCAGGATAAGTATACTAAATTCGTTAAGTCGAGCGGGATATTATGGGACACTCATCTAACGATTGATGTAGCTTTGAGTATTCGTTGTAACTGTTCGAAATGTTTCAATCGCGCTTAATACAGCTCCTACGAGCACTTAACGTAACGATGATGAAAAAAGGACAGACCGTAGCACGTCTTGAGGGCGTGAATTTGCGGCGAAGTCATGCTTGCGATGCCATGAATAGCTGCTGCAAGTGGTCTCACAGTGATTTTTACTCACTGAAATTACAGCATTGCCGTTAGCAAGCAGAAGGAGGTTCTATTAAAAGAGAGGGAGCGACTTTTGGATGAGATGGAAACCATGCGACAGCGTCTAAAGAATATGTCCCCTTACATAGAGGAGCTCGAGAAAAAAAGTAGTGAGGTCGATCAGCGTATGATCGAAATGCAGGAAACCCTCGATATGCAATTGAACGAAATTTCGCGAGAGAAACGCGGCAGAGAGAGAACCGAAATGGAGGTGCAGCAACTTCAAAAGGACATAACCATAAAGAAGGACGAACTTGAGGTGAGAATTTGGATGAGTGTATAAGAAGCATAACGACAGATAAGTGATCTGAATACGAGATCGCACAATGCAATATTAGCAATTAGTAACTACGCGTAATATTAGACACATATTGTTAAAATCTAATGAAGATCGAACATCATATAATTTAAATAATATTAGTTTCGTTATATTAAATGTAATTTATTTATGAATGAGTAATAGTGTTTATTAATTTATCAGTGTCGCGTGGATCTCTGTATTTGTAGTAGAATTTATGAAATGCTCATAAGCAATAGGGAGTGCAATTAATACTGTTGGAGTTGGTAATGCCATTACTATAAAATCATAATTATAATGTCATAGAAGTACCATTAACAGGTAATAACTCCGTAGACCGCGAATGCGTCTATCGAAGCTAGTGCGAATAATGTGCTGCGGCTCGAGAACCTGGTCAAAGAACATAAAACAGCGGGAGAGAGAATGCAGAAGGAGATCGGCAAGCTTATGCTAAAGAGAATGAATCTCCAAACGGATCTCGATAATGCGAATGTTGAGATGGAGAAACTGGAGAAAGAGCTCACCGACAAAGAAAAACAGTTGAAGAGTATTAAATACGATCTTAACAAGTAATCAAAGTAAACAAAGAGATTCACACACGAGAGAATTAGTTATCGCCTAAAAGCCGTTCTCATGTTGCATGTATCATACGAAGAATGTTTCAGAACACAGGAGGAGAACGCTAAGTGCAAGCTCGAAAAGGACATCATGGAGAAGCGACTGCTGAAAGTTGAGATCGAACGATCCAAGTTTGAACAGGATTTACGACAAGCAGTAATCGATATAAAAAACGTAGAACACAAAACAGTTACTTGCCGCAAGGAGTTTATGGATGAGCGGCAACACGTCGAGGTATTATTGCGCGAGAAAAATATCCTCGCGCGCAATAAGGAGGCCGCTCAGGAGAGAATGAAGCGAATAAATCGCGAGTTACTGTTGAGTGAACATGCAAAGCGAAAGATTGAACGTGAGCTGGACATATTGACGCAGAGCTCCCACGAAGTGAAGAAACAATTGGAGCTGGTGGAGAGAGAGAGGGACAAATGCAATTTGACGGTGCAAGAATTAGAGCGACAGGTGAACCGATTTGCTTCAGTTTTATGTCATTATTTTGTCATCCTGTTATTAAAATATCGCTTTTCGAATCGATAGAGTTATCAATTAATATTATTATTTCTGCATCTGTATTTTTTCTCTATTCGGGATAGCAAAAGTTTAATTCATTCATGTACTCTCATAGTCGTTTAAACCAAAATATCCTGTACAATATTTTCGATGGTTAAAGAGAAAATTCATGTAGTCGCGGCGTAACGTAAATCCTAAAGAAATCTGAGTAATTTACTGGGCTAGATTTAATACTCTTATCAGGGAAATTTTACGATCTTGAGAACTAGGAGAGAGCTTCTGCCGACTCTCGTACTTATGAGTGAACGAGAGAAATAAAATTTTGTAATTCAAGGAAATGCTATCTGCGAGATAATAAGGAATGACCGAGAAGCAGAGAAATCGAGAGACGCGAAATATAAATCTCGTAACAAGTCCATTAGGGGAGAGCAAGAATTCTTCTTGCTATAATAATCCTCATTTTGTAGCGAAAGACAGCGATCTGTGAATGATCATTTTAATTACCCACGAGTGTTCATTCAAGAAAGTATCAAAGATAATAAATAATACATTATAATGTTCTCAAATATGATAACGCATAAAATATAGTAGATTCTGTCTAAATGACATTATTTAGGAAAACAATATAACAATATAACAAACGTGGAATAAAAATACACAGAGTATATCGTAGTGAGTGTAAACAATTTCGCAAAGTTGCCAAAAAATTATTTTGAATAAAGTAATCAATTATATAACGAGAACCTCTGTAATATTTAATTTGGATGAGCAAATTTTGTTTGAACAAATGAAGCACTCGTGGTATGTTTGTTCTTACCGCACTTATAAATAATTTATCGATCGCAGACGAGTAATCCGAAGCTAGAAGCAATGTGAACGACATACTTAATTTACGACGTGTTGACAGATAGAGGGTCGCATAAGCGAAGTCAGGCTGAAACAGACCGAGATTTCCGATTATAAGAAAAGTTTGGCGGAGGCCGAGATAAAGTATCGTCAACAGCAAAGCTTACTAGAAGTCATCCGTGCGGAACGAAATCTGTACAGCAAAAACCTAGTAGAGGTACAGGAAGAAGTAAAAGATTTGCGGAGAAATCTGAAGATAACGAGCCAGCAGGTCGAACAGCTAAAGGAAGATATAGCCACGAAAGAGTCCAACCTTGTTAAGCAAGAATTCCGTAAGCTATTCTGCTAAAATTTCTGCAATACTGAATTCTTTTTTAATTTTTACAAAAATTGATTTCTTCTTTATATTTTTATGCTTACTTACGACTAAAACGTTGAAGAATAAAATGTTGAAGTACAAAATGGAGAAAATTTTAAACTTGTTTTCATTTTCTTTACCTCGGTTTATTACGAAGCTTGATTGACTTAAAAAATTTCTAATTGCAAGAAGGAAGAGAGAGAGAACAAAGAAAAAGAGAGTAAAAAATTAATAATATAGTGCCATTATACTATAGTTTTGTAAAAAAAAAAGAGAAACTAGAGAAATTGGCGAATCGTACGTCACTAGATTTTGTTTAACGGATATCCGAATCTATTAATCAACATTCATAATAACAAATCTACACGCCTTAACGTGCAAATTTATTAGCGAGCTTGTTGGAGCCTCGTGCAGTCCATTATCAGGGGACTAGAGTGATCGCTGTTCAGAAGATCATTTGTCTTCTAGTGCTAGGGAGAGTAGAAAAGGAGAAGGAGGACCTCAAGGTCGATCTACGATCCTGCCGTATGGAGTTGTCGGCCTTGCGACACGAAATCGAAAAGATGAAGCATGACGAGAAGCATCTAAGGTGGGAGGTTCAACAGGCGAACGTAATGATTGGACGCCGCCAAAAGGACATAGACAATGTGATGAATGAACGTGATATACTCGGTACACAATTAGTTCGCAGGAATGATGAGCTAAGTCTTCAATACAGCAGAATCAAGGTTCGTTGGTGCTTGTCGCATAAATTCCATTCATTGATTCCATTCATTGAAGAAATGTTTAAATTGTCTATATTATTTAATGCATGCCACTTTCTTTCGGTAATATTGTCAGGTTTCTTTTATCAATTTCCTTATCCAATATGTTATATTTATGATTATAGGTCCTAAATACCACTCTTCAATGCGGCGAAACGCAGTACAATAAAAAATTGCAAGATATCAGATTGCTCAAGTGCGAAGTGAAGAGATTAAGGACGGAAAAAGTCCTTCTTACTAAAAATATCGCCAATGTCAGTGATCTGCGACAAGAAATTTTTCATCTTAATCGCGACCTGGCGAAGGAAAGAATCAAAGTCACTGCGCTTGAGGAAGAAGTTCAAACCCCGTTAAATATACACAGATGGCGAAAGCTTGAGGTAAGAAGTACATTTTCGTTCCGGAAGAAGGAACGGAGATTACAGAGCTTTAGGAAGTAAAAAGCAGAAAATCATTCTGTAAATCAGCCGAAACACAAATCTAGAAGCGAAATCAATTAATTGATTATAGAGGATAAAAAAACACTTGCATTCTTTTCGTAATAGGGCACGGATCCCGCCACTTTTGAGCTCATTAAGAAGGTACAAATTTTACAAAAGCGCATCTTAAAAATGTCCGACGACATAATTGATAAGGAAAGGAAAATAAAGGACACCGAAAAATTATACATGAACCTTCGCGATGTCTTGTCGAAGCAACGAGAACCATGGACGGCAGCGAGCTTGGATGAAGTTCGAAATGCCTTGCGTAAAAGAGGAGAAAAACTGAAAGTGAGCTATACGAAACTTACAGTCCACAAATTTTCAAAGCAGGCGTTTTATTCTTTGTGCTACGCTTCTCGCATAACTTATTATACACTTAAGCTGAGAAAATAATTTGTTTTTACACACAATTGTTATTACAACGTGATTACAAACGTCTGTTTTTCGTGTAGTGTCTCGTCGCCGAATTAAACATGTACGAAACACAAGTGGGGGAGTACAAAGGCGACATGACGAAAATGGTTAATGAAATGTGTGAATTAAAAAAGAAGTATCACACTCAAAAAAAGAAATTGCAAAAGATGAAAGAGACTACCGCGAAATCCTCCTACGAACCCATTCTCCCGGGAATATTGGTATCCAATGTGAAATTTTGCGGGGGTGGCTTCAGTATGACGACGCCTACACGGAGAAATTGCTTTCTAGAGTTAGCAAAGAAATAAAGAAAGGATAATTGAATAATATTGTCATTATTTATTAAACATTTACACTCGAGAAAAAATATTTATATATAATTACGTGTAAAATTGGTCTTCTTGTGACTATAGTCATACGTAATAATAACTGTACGTAATTATGACCGTAATCAACTGTATACATATTTATGAGGAAAAAAATGTTGTACAATTAAAATAACTGTTTATTTTTGTAATGGCTCATTGTGTAAACGTTTCATTGAATGAAACTACTATTTTCTTCATTTAACAGCGTTTTTTCACGTGTGGGCATATATAATTACACATAGTTATTTATATGACATACAGAGACAAAATTTATATATAAATTATTTATAATTATGTTTAATTCACATATAATTACATATAATTTTATATAATTATATATATGTAAACTTTTTAATTTGGTTCTCTATATATCATGTAGGTTATGAATATGTAAAATATTTTATTTTAATTAATTCTTATTTGTAAGGTGTTCCTAAATTATTATATTTATGTCCAGTGAAATAATATATGTGTTAGTTAAAAAAAAATAAATGTTATTCTTATTATATTAAATCATGTTTGATATTACTATTTGTATGATATAACTATTGATGAAACCTGATATGGCGATGACTAAACAATAAATATTAAAAATATTAATATCAGAAATTTGACGGGATAATAGTAAAATTGAAATAAAAATGTTTGTTTGAAAATTTACTTAATGTTTTCTACGTGGAGCACATAGCTGTTCATTCTTAAAAATATCAAGTAACGATATTAAACATACCTTTAACGAATCCTCTTCTTCTCGAATAAATTCCTTGTCTTGGAACTGCTGGTAAATGATTGATACGAGCGAATCCACACGATTTATAGTCCGAAAATTTTCGACGTATTCAAGATGCGTCGTGTGTATCGAGCTAGGTAGGTTTTTTCGTCTGTACCGCTGCTACGTGCCCAGAATTTGCGGTTGATATAATTCTCGGAGTATATTCACTAGGCAAGTAGACTCTACGAATTACCAAGACCTGAGAGCAGTTTTCGACGAACGTTTTTAAGAGAGCTTCGGGAGAAGGAAGTAAATTGGTCTCTGGCTTCATTTCGAGAGTAATGTCTCGACTGCAAGATGAACTCAGTAATTTTGCATCATATTCGTGAATCCATATAGCTGATTGTTAATTCTTAGAAAATGTCTAAAATTCAAATTTCTAATATATAAAGATTATATGTCAAAAAGAGCAAAGAAAATCATTTTAAATCAATATTTCTTGCAACTAAAGATTATATGCTGCAAAATTTTTCACACCTTAGTAACACGTTATTTATTTCGAAGAAATGTACGTTCTTGAGAAAACTACGATTTTTCTACTTACAAATTTCTCTTTAAAGAATCATCGGGTTCATCGGAAGAAAATTCTGCATAAATATATATTCACTATTATTAATTATAATTTTTTCCTATTTGAATAGTTTCTTCTTCCTACAATGACGCTTAAAAAAAAAGAAAGTATATATTCGCCACTTTTATGCATTTTTTGGAAGTCATTTATGATTTATCCCAATATTCTTTCCTTTTTATAAATATTTGAAATGAATGTCGCGCACGAAGTAAAATAATTCGCTACTTTATTTAATACGGACGTCTAGATTACGTAAAAATGTAGAAGAAACATTGGTCGAAAAATCAGATATCATAAATTACTGGCATTGTTTCGTCGATTAATTAGTTAAAAAGAAAGATTATTGCCTCGTTGGATTATTGCCTCGTTATTAAACGTTGGAAGGTGGAATAAATTTAGTTCCGATAACTGTTCAAAGAAGCGCATTAAAAGCAACAACTATGTAGTACAAATTTTACTTTGTCTTGAAATTTGTATCGTATAAATTTGGCCATTTGTATCCTTTATTGCAACTTTATTGCATTTCTAATTTAAAATATTTATATTAACTAAGACACGTACATACACACACAACATACACGCACGCAAGCACACGCATGCTTTTCCATAGAGGATTAAAGTCTTACACTCGTCGAACAAATTGTAACCTACGTGAGCTCAAGCGGAAAATAACACAATCATCTGAATGGGGAAGTACGTTATTACTCGTTCAACCGTTAATTGGCTCATACATATGCATATGTGCATGCCTTCATCTGTTCGTATCTCGCAATCTACCAACGAATTCTCTACGTGCCGCACGTAGACATCGTATCGGTACAATACGTTCGTATCTTCGCACTGATTAGAACTATTATTGAACGTATTATTCATTTGTTTAATAATAGTTCTAATCAGAGTTACAGGAATGATTTATCGGTTTCCAGTAAACCGACGTCAAGCCATAAATATAATTTGAATGCTTAATAAGTAAAAGAGTAAATTAATTAATTAATCATCGTTGACTGTTCATATTATCACTGATATTGTTTACCCATTTATAAAACGTCAATTCAATTCGTACGATTTTGACACACTCATTACTACTCGTGTCTCGTGTTATGCCTTACTGCCGATTAAGCGTTAAACAAGTGCAATTTCGAAATGTAATGCATATTATAAGGGTAGTTGTAACCCATTTACATGCGTTGGCAAATAAAGTGTAATTATCGCCTTTTATTTCGAAGAACATTTAAGATAAATGGATTATTTTTACCAGGTTGTTGATACTAAAAGGCACATTTTTGGATATATGAATATCATGGTCTTTTTGCTTCGTCTTCTTCATATCAGAAAAAATAAAGACTCTCAGTTTGTTTAGAAACTTGTATCTTAGCCTGAGTTCATGCTACTTATATGCAAAAAACCCGAAATGCAAAAAACGAACAACTTTCTGCACTATATCTTGTTTAAAAAAGATATTATACATGTTACTTTATTAAATTATAGTATTTTAAAAATTGGGCTAATACGGGATTAAAGATTAAAATAATATGATGTCAAAACACCAACTTTATATTACATCATAAAACGTTAAAAACAAAACTTGAATCTCGGTTTATACATTCAGCGTACTTAAACGCGACAGTTGACGATTAATTAAAAATTCCATATTGTGTCAAAAGAGACGTGCGATTTTCTCGCGGTGCGAGTACTACCGCCCGACTGTCCCGGTATTTCCGTTTATATCCATCGTCATCCAAACGATTTGAACAAAACATGTTCCACCACACGGCGGCAAACTGGCAATTGGGGTCGTTGCTGGCGAATACCGGAATTCGGAAATTTCGTGGCACGATTTGTTATCGTCCGCTCGGAAATTCAGCAGGTTCGACGAAAGCGTTCTTCGTCCGTGTGCGTACGTATATACGCGTGCACGAGTGTGCGCGCTTGCATATGTGAATTCGTAAGCGCGCAATAACAGCCCATCACTATTTCAAGTTTGCCACAATCAAACAAAATCTCTATTTATTCGTTGGCCATTTAGCCGTTTTCTCTCATATTGCGCCACAAGTTGACAATTGTAGATTGCAATAAAAACTGATAAAAGTAAAAATATTTCTTTGTTATCGTCATAAGTTAAGTATTGCTTGTATTCGTTGATACACGTGTACGATTATCGTGTAACAATCTTTGTTGCTTCAGTGAAGAGTTCTGCTCCTCATTACTTCCCCGGTATTCTCTAAGCTCGCCCCGGCATTTTCGCTTTGAGCTTCGCGCTCCTAAGACACTCATTCTCCGCACGTTAAGTGTCCAGCAGCTTTCTAATCAGATCCAATCGGGCCGACCTGATACATCCGTCGCTCCGACCTCGATCAATTCCGAGTTAATCATTTAACGAGACGGGAGGCAAGGAATTAAGCTCGGGCCCAGGAGCAACGATTTTCGATTACACGCGTGAGTTTATATTCGAGTACAAACTTTGATTAACTGGTTACATAATTCGCGGGCGTTACAAGCCTAACGCACAGCGCGATTGACATAGCGGTTATTATGCGCGTTATGAATTAATATATATATATATATTTCTCATTCACGCACACACCACACACACACACACACACACACACACACACACATATATTAATTAATATATTCAGTCTCTGATATACATAGTCATACGAGTCAATTAACGTTATCAGTAATTAATTGCAACAAGTAACGACCAATTTTAATCTGGTTACACGGCGCAGTATTATCGTGTCACTCACAATAATTATTTAGTTAGAGTTTTTCGACATAAATATAAATATGACATAATAAACTTGTCTCTTCTCGTACATATGATAGATACCGTGTTGCGCGCACGCGGTCACCCGTGATCGCTATGACCGCACGTACTGCCAGACCGCAACGTGTCGTACCTACTTGCGCGACCCGAGTTGTAAGGGACCATCTCTTTACTTTTACATCTGAGCATGACTACTGACGCGTTGTTTACTCGGGACAGTTACTCGCTCACACGGTAGAATAAAATTGGTAAGCAAGAGAGAGAGAGAGAGAGAGAGAGAGAGAGAAACAACTTATTTGCGATCTTTTATATAAAAAGTGACACGAATAAATAATATCGATAAAATACCGTCGAAATAACATTTTTCTTTCTACCGTACAATGTACCGGATTTTTCGTACTTTACAACGTACGTGGTGGTAGTGGTGAATTATTTTTCCACTTATTGATTAAAAATTCCTGCGATTAAATTCCTGTAATAATGTGCCTTGATTCATGAGAATGGAAGAATTTTTACAACGTTCGCGTAAATCCGTATTTAACGAGCCAGACACCTCTGGTGAGTGTGAGTAAGCAATTTAGAAAGATAAAAATAAAACATGTACATATATATTTTTTAACGTAAAAAATATATATTCGAAATGCGAATATCTTCGTTCTCGTAACGGATTAATCCTGATTTTATAACTGTAATGATTTTACATCATATACCGGTGGGACGTTTTCCAGGGTAGTCGGAATACGCTAACTCCAACGCTCAAACATATATTATTTATACGGTTCGTTTATAAGTCTCGCGAGGTAGCGTAGATGCGTTTATGCGTCGACG